GAAGTCTGTGTCCAAAACACTGCATCCTCTGCCATTTATTTAGCTGCACCACCTTCACCACATTAGCTCCATTGTCAGTTGTTACAGCCACCAGTGCTGCCGGGTTGAGCGTCCGGTTAGTGAGGACATCCAGGGCTTCAGCTCCTGTGTGGTCTTGGGGAAAATAGCTGGTCTGGAGACATGCACTTTTCAGCTCCCAGTCTTCAATGAAATGTATGGTCACACTGAAGTACGGCTCACAGGTCCAGCTGGACCACATATCGGTGGTCAGTGTGAAGTGAGACAGTTTGGGAAGCTGGTTGGTGAGACGCTCTCTAACTTCAGTATACATTTGTGGAAGAACTTCTCTGGCAAAACAATTCCTACTCGGTAACTCGTATCTTCTGTCAAGGACTTTTAGCAGCTGTATAAAGCCATCTTGTTCCACAGTTGAGAGCGGGACCATGTCTTTAGCGAAATGATGTGCCACAGCCTTAGTAATCATGCGCCACTTCTCACTTTTTCTTTCARAAGGCACCGCACAAGTATATGCATTTTGCAACGTGGTTTGTTTCGGTGCAGGAGGCTGGGAAGAGTTCATAGTTTGAGCTGCAGCTCGCAGTTTCACACACTCTTCGTATTCTTTTTTATGGCGCTGTTTTAAATGGTGGAAAAGATTTGTAGTGCTCGAACTTTTTGTCGGAACTTGTTTTCGGCATTCTCTACAAATTACGTCTTTCTGCTGCTCATCTGTGGTTTTGAATCCGAACCATCTCCAAATGAGTGAGCCGTTGTTTTTCTTTTTGCTCACCAAGTGCTCTTCAGTATCCTCTCCCATGCTTTCACTCTCACCTTCCATCTTGTCATGGCTGTTCAGTGTTCACGCGGCGGCGGCACGCTTATCTTCCTATTAGCTCTAGCTTGGCTAGCTGCCGAAAGACACGTAGGGGTCTAGGGGTGGGGTGATTTGTCTTCAGAGTGGGAAGGAGGAGGGGCCGTGGGAAGTTCAGCACAGACACAGAATTGGCGGATCTAAAATAATAATTAAAATGCAACGTAGAGCATCTCGATATGAACAATATAGGCTCGTCTTGTATCTCTTTTGAAAAAAATCTCGATATTTTTAAAATCTCGAGATATCGCCCAGCCCTAGGCTGCACTTTGTCTGATCCCTCACCTAGGACCTGTTTGCCCTGGGTGACCCTACTGGGGGCATGAAGCCCCCAACAACATAGCTCCAAGGATCATTGGGACACTCAAACRTCTCCACCACAATAAGGTGGCAGCCCAAGGAGAGGGTTAACTGTGGCCCCTGGAGGAATTTAGTTGAATAGCCCTGCCATAGACTGTTTAAACTCCGCCCACCCAGCTCACTGTTTCTGCCAGAGCAGGGTGAAGCTCAGCGAGTGGACAGGTCTCGACTCCCCTCTTAGCTAGCGTTAGCCTGCACCGTTCAAATTGAATTAGATATGTTGATATGAAGTCCTGGACCTGTTTAAGACTCTTATTGTTACCTCCAGCTTTTCTACATGCACAGCCTCACCTGGTGAGTTTAAATACTGTGGTTCAGTCGCTATTTAAAACAAGGCATTCATATAGTTTCATTAAGGCTTTTCATGAAAACAAGTTGTTTATGGTTTTTCAGCTGAGTTCAGTCAGCCAGTAGCTAGACCCACAGATATGTCAGCTGATTATTCTGTCCGTGGTATTTAAAGTTGTGTGTTGTTGTTGTAAACAATGGCTGAGTGAAATGATCAGCCATTAAAATTTGAATAGGAATATTCTTAATAACAGTCAGGTTGAATCAGTATAAATGTTAGACTGATGGTTCAATTCAATTCAGTTCAGTTTATGTAGCACCAAATCACAACAACTGTTGTCTCAGGGCACTGTACAAAAAATAAATTAACGGACGGACGGACGGACGGACGGACGGACTACTCGGTAACCTCGTACTCGGTATCTTCTCGTATCAGGATGTCCTGACTGACTGACTGACTGACTGACTGACTGACTGACTGACTGACTGACTGACTGACTGACTCACTCACTCACTCACTCACTCACTCACTGACTCACTCACTCACTCACTCACTCACTCACTCACTGACTCACTCACTCACTCACTCACTCACTCACTGACTCACTCACTCACTGACTGACTCACTCACTCACTCACGCACGCACGCACGCACGCACGCAGACTGTGCCCAATCTTCAGTGGTGAAAGTTAATATATGCTTCTGATGTTTACTATTCGTTTAGGGAAAAGTCGTTCTGTGAGTGTGTTTACGTTTTACAGCATATTTTAAAATATTTCTCGTTCAAATGTAATAAATTAATAAATAAATTAGTTTGTGTCAAATGAAACAATTTGACCTGAAACTGGTGATGAAAGGTGATGGCTGGCTTGCTATAGGGACTGGAATAGCTTGGTTGGTGCTTTGGCCTGGAGTAGCTGGGTCAGTCCTGGGTTTGATTTATTAGCTAGGGTCACTTGCCTGAATGCCCTCAGCATCACGTTAGTTGCTGCACTGCAATGTTCTGTTTGCCATTTGTAATTCCTGAAAATGTTTATTGCTTTCTGCTCTCCCTTAAACTACCCCTTTTCTGTAAAAATAAAGTAAAAAACTATATCATTATGACAACTACTGATAAGCAGATTCTCTTTGTTAATTTAAATTCTTTTTGAAACTTGTCATTTTGGGGTGTGACAACTTACCCCAAAATGACTGAGACAAGTTGCCTCAAACTACCTTGTTTGCCAAAATGACCTCTAGCGCAAAGTTAGCTTAAAACTGAACAATGACGGAGGTATCACAGGATGCCTTAATATCTCCTCCAAGTCCACAGGTATCACTGTTAGGATTTTTATCAGAAAGAAGCTTATTTTGAAATATTTCAGCTGATTTTTTTTTTTTTTTTTTTGCGTTGTGCAAAAAAGTTAATTGATCATCTCACCTCACAATGTGCTAGTCTCTTCTCCTATAGGACAAAACACCTGATCATATAAAGGAAGAAAAGTAGTATTCCACTTTTTAGTTGCYCCCTCTGGTGGAGAAGATAATTGTGATGTGACAACTTACCCATGTGACAACAAGCCCCGGTCTCCCCTACATTTTAATGACTTACTTTTTACTTTTAATTGAGTAGATTTTTTACACAGCAATTTAACTTGTAGTTGAGTAAAATTTTAACTGTACTTTTCTTGAGTATTTTATTTTAGTATTTTTTTCCACCTCTGTACATTGCAGAAGGGAAGCTTTACCAAAGTTAACTGTAAATCTATTGTGTTTGATCACTCTGGCTGYCTTTCTCAAGGACCAGGATGTGTGACACAAAAATCACAATTTTGAAACTGAAATTGAATTATGGAACTGAAAGTGAAAGTAGTTAAACTGAAGTTTTAATAGCCCAAAATGAGTTTCAAAGCAAATTAATTCAGATACAAAACTTTGAATTCAGTTTCAAACCATTACATTCAATTTCAATTTAGTGAAATTGATTTTCAAACCAATGCATTCAATTTAAAAGATTATTTAAAAAAACCTATCCAATAGTTTAAACTTGTCAACACCTTAAAGAGTTTTTTTCTAATATTTTCCTATGTTAAAGTTTATTTTTTTTTCAAACTTTATTCATTTCTTAAAAAAACAAAAGTGATTCTACAGTATGTACAATAAAAATAAAATACATATAAAATGAAATGAAAGGTGGCAGAGAGAAGATGAAGTCTTATTACATCTGCCCCTTTTTCTCAAGTATATATTCAAACAATAATGATCTTCAGTTAATTTAATTCAATTCAATTCAGTTTATTTATATAAAGTCTAAACATATGTTGTCTCAGGGCACTGTACATTAAAAAAGAACAATCTAGCCTTTATTGTTATTTTAAACATGTACAGTTATTTGGTAGTTTTAATATCATCTTCCAGATCATTCAACAATCTGACTCCTTGGATTGATTAAGTTTCACAAAGTCAGCCCTAAACTCACTGCAGAATAACAAATATCCCACATTTTCAAATTGACAAAGTCTTGGAGGTTTTTTTTTACCTGATATACATTAAAACATGCAATAAAGATTAATTGATCAAACCAATTATTTCTTTTCCAATAGGCTTAAGATTACACATATCTCAACCTCTGTTCAAATATAGCAATCAGTTCAAATTGTTTGTTATTGTTTGTTTCATACATTTCTCCTTCTTAGAGGAAGATACTTAGAAGATTTGATTTATTATCCTGTATTCTCTCACTTACCAGTGCAATGTTTTATCTACTTTCATTTTGTGCATTTTTATGTCATTGTAAGCCCTTTGATTAACAATTCATTGATCTGAAACAACTCTCTCTGTTTGAATTAAAATATTCTTACTCACAGATGCCACCTGGTGGACAAATGTGCTGTCAAGCTGGTTCAAGGAAAGTAATTGTTTTATCGTTAAACTCACATTTACTGAGAGCTGGTGGTGTTTATAAATCAAAACAGGTTCTACTGTTCTGATTTTTAATCAAAATTAAAAATACGATTTATAATATCCTTAGCTAAATGTTGAAGTAAAATATAATACAAACTTTTGTGACTTTTTTTTAAATACACTTAAAATTTCATGAAGGAATATTATATTTTATGGTCCTGTGTGAACATAAGATTGTTTGCTGCACCTTATAAATGTTGTCACTTTTTTTTTCTTATTTTTTATTTAGTTTTTTTATTTTATTTTATTTTTATTTTGGCTATTTTTAATTATCAGGGTGTTATTGCTTTATGATAATACACTTAAAAGTTTTTTTTTCTGTCACTGACCTTAAACACAAAAAATCTTAAGTGCAGCAACTTTAAATATATATTTTACACATCACTGTCAAGTATTTGAAAGGAAAAAAWGAAACAAAAGGAGGTTATATGTAAATTGCACGTTTTTTATTTTTATTCATATTACACATATTTCTTTTATTTTTAAATTGTCTTAACTTGAATTGGACGATGTGTTTTTAAAATAAGTGTGTGATTGTATGACATGGATTTTCAAAACAACCATTATGAAGCGTTCATTAACTCGATGCGCCCTCTGGTGGACGCATGTCCACATTACAGCTGCATGTGAAAGCATTGTCACAGAATATTCAGCACCAAGGCCAAAGGACAGCTCCCAGGAAAAAAGAATCTGTTCACTCAGTCAGAACTTCATTTTTCACTTCCAGAATTACATTTTATAAGAGTTTTGTCCAGAGTGTGATTTTTTTATTGCTTTTAAAGAACTAAAGTTTTACATTCTATGTGTATTTTACATATCTTAATAGACATTTGTAATRGTTTTAGATTGTTTTTGTGGCACATAAAAATACTGTAAAAAATATCAGAAATCTCTTTTTTTTTTTGGCTGAACCATTCTTCCCTCTTGTCTGAAAATAAGTAGAGRTGACCTAAATATGGCTGCCCCTTCAGTCGTCCCAGTGGATCACCTTACAGCAGAGAAGGTTATCCTGCCCCTCTCCCTGCTCTCTGTGGACACCGGTTGCCTTATTAGCAAAATTATTTTCAATTCGAGCCACAGGGCGACCTAATTTCCTGCTCATTTCTGGCTACTCGTCCGCTCTCATCTGTTGCTGGCAGGATCTAATTCCCTGAGAAGTGAAATGTAAAAGGGCACAGAGAGAAACGAGCCCCCACAGCTTTTATTCAGGTGTGGCATTTGGAGTTGATCCTCTTGCTTCCCCCGATGCTTGTATTCGTGTCCGTGGTCTTAATTAAAGTGATATTTCGAGAGAGAAGGTTCTGTTTGTTCAGTTAATGAACCCCAGTATTCTCTGCGGGCAAATGGAAATGCAAGTGCTCCAATTAGCATATGTTAGCATTTTACTATGTTTATTCCTGGCTGCGGAAAAACAGCTTACAAAGGCGAAAAAGCAGGAGATTTTTTTCCTCCTCCAAAAATAATTGGCTCGAGTTCATTAAACTCAAATCTGTGAAACTTAAATGATTTGTCTTCATAAATGAACTTGTGTCAAACTTGTGTCACACAGCAGGTAAAAAGAAAACGACCAAGTGGAAAAAATACTTTTAATTTACTAAATGTTTACAGTACATGTGTGGGGAAAGACCCCGAGGTTACAGTAGTCTGCATCATGGTGCAGCTTGCATATACATTTACATCATATTTGTCATATTTACAGAAGCTTTGTTAGCAAAGAAACATACACAAAGAGGAAAAAGGTATTTTTGTTACCAAAATATAAATTCATCAAGATGTGCAAAATTATGGTCTAATTTACAACATTTTGGATGGATTTTCTGCTCCTGTTTGATTGTCTAAATAATAATAATCACAACAAATGTAGTAATCAACTGCAATAACAACAGACACAATGACAATGTTGCAGTGGCATGTCACATAAATAATCATTATCTCTAAAAGAGACTGTCCATTAATTATTTCTATCCTTCAGTGGATTGCTGTTCATCTCCATTTTCATACCACTCATAAATCAAACTAGTTTGAGTACTGAATGGTTTCTTCGTCTGCTTTCTCATGAGTTTATCCATCATTTCAATCATCCATTCGGACAGTCATTGATGACTCAGTCATTGTACAGGTCATTATTTATCACAGCCGCCTCCCCCTGGGGGGACATCTGCAGCCGCCGCTTCTTGCCGAAGGTGGAGAAAGAGTTGTTGACATCCAGCTCGCTCCGGTGGATGGCGGGCCGCAGGGTGCAAAAGCCCGASGGAGTCCCAGGGATGTAGACGTTGTGGTGGTAGTCGGGCGGCGGGTGAGGGTGGGGCTGTGGGTGGGCGGGCAGAGAAGGCTGCTGCTGCTGGGGTGGAGGTGTGCAGCGAGGAGTCCAGGGGCGGGAGGGGAGGCCACTGGGTGAAGGAGACATCTTATAGTCTGTGAGGAGGCCAGGAGAGGAGAGAATCAACTGCTTATTATACACTACTGACCTTATTATAGAAGAGATACTTTCATTTGCATAATTCATATGGAAATCTGGGGTTTAAAGGTTTTGCAACAAGGACCATAAACAATTATATGCAGCCGGAGGAGAAGTCAACAGCAGAAAGTGCTGAAAATCCCTGTTTTGGTTGTGTTGAATAAGTAAGAAACTGAATTTCCTCATGCTGTTTTATGAAATCTTTTGTAGGRATTGTTTTCTCACCTTTTGTGCCTTTCATGTGGTTTCCCCAGGTCCAGTACTGCCCAGGTGCCATGGATGTGACATAGTTTTCCGGGTCTGCGTGCATGGCCTTACGCATGAGGGTGCCGTCCATGTTGATGGAGTTGTAACTACAGAAAACCAGGGTAAAGGCTCAATCACAAACAATGAAAATGTCACATATAATAATTACATGAGTATATATTTAAACAAGTTGTGTTACCCAGCTTCATGTGTGTGTATATATACTGTATATTTGTTTCATATTAAATGAATAAAGGTCAAAGTGAATACCTTTTGATAGATGAGTTTTGAGTCTTTGTGAGAGTCCAGTCTGTGTTCGGCTGCTTCAGCTGCAAGATAAATAAAAAAGTCAGTTCTATTCAAAAGATGGACTATAATTAGCATCGTGAAATAATTATGTCTAATTTATAAGAGAACATATCTGTTTGTCTAAATGCTCCTCTATTCAGAACATGTCATTTGAAACCAGCTTTACTAATAAAAAAGCTTGTGTTCYCTTTACCTTCATAAATAATGGAGGTCAATAATAAATGACTGGAGCAGCCTTTTGTGCTTTGCCTTGAAACTGAGGCTGTATTTTTTATTATTTTTTTGGTGGAGCATGACTGCCCCCTTGTGGGTTTTTGTCAGAAAACACATTTTCACATATTTTTTTTCTTTTTTTTTAAGAGTTGCCTTCAGCTACAACTCGCCTGTTACTGAGCTTTGTTCTTATCCTCTGTTGCACAGCAGGAAGGGTGAAGGAAGGTCAAAAGAGTGCTGCGTTTTCTCCGATTTGGGGCTCATGCTATGGATTGCACGCTTTATTAATTCATCCAAAGTTGTTAACAAGGAGAACGCAACGTAAGCGCATTATTTAAATAATAATAAAAAAGGTCTCCTCTCCAACAACGCATAAAAACCAATTAGAACCCCACAGGGATGAAACGAAACATGATTCTAATCTTCAAAGGGAACCGTGCCAGCGAGAAAATTAAGAAAATTACACATGTCATTGTTTTGTGGATTTAACGCATCGCTTTACATTAATATTTGCCTGATGCTCCTCAAGCGAGGTTTTTAATTAAAAGTCTCAGAGAGCCTTGGAAAAGTTTTCGGCTCTGGGTGCACACTACTGCGCTGCGCTCTGCGCATTCACTCACCTGTCCTGTGTGTGTGTGTGTGTGTGTGTGTGTGTGTGTGTGTGTGTGTGTGTGTGTGTGTGTGTGTGTG